CCTTCCAGGTATGCCCCGGAATCTATGTTTCCAGAGGTATCTGTGAACAACTCGATACCACCTGCAAAGGCTCCACAAGTAGCCTTCGCCATGAAATGGCTACCGACCCAGTCCTCGCGACTAACCCGACATGCAACTTGAAACTGCCTTATGAACAACTGCGATTTCTCAGTGACCTTCTTGGACCTGCGAACCTTCAGCCTGAACTCCCGAAGTGCAGTCAACTGAACCCCAGGCAATCGACACTCTCCTACCACCGAAACAATTTCCAGTCCAAGCAAAGACGTGCGGTAGGATTCCCGTGACCGTAAGGTATGTCCACAACGGCCCGGCCCAGCCGAGCCCACACAGCAAGCTATCTTACAGATAATGTACTAAGGAACCCCTTTCTGATTCCTTTTTCACCTCCCACTCCCAGACGGATCCAACTTCCCGAGTAGGAACATGAATGGAACTGCCCCTTGGCAAGTAGAGGTTACCAATAGGAACCTGCAAACATGCAACCCAAAAGATGGAAGGGTCGCCAATAATCGAACGCGTCCTGTTCCCCCAAACCAACTCGACGGCAAGGCCGAATGATGCCAACGATACAGAACAGTTCCGCGGCGATGTCCTCATTTACCGATGCCCCTTTTGGGTGCGATAAGTTTTGTATTGGACAGAATTTGCCCGCCCATTTCTAGGGGACCACCCCCCATGGAGACACCCACAGGTCCGCTAATGGCGCGGAAGTTCCCCCATGGACTTGATATTCGCCCACCACTTTTCCTGGTCCCTCGACTTTGAATGGAATAGCGTAAACCCCCTCAACAATCTCAGCCATAAAACTAGCGCATTCATGGGAGGCTTACTGCCTTAGCCACAGCAGCAATGCACTGATCATCACTGGTGCCGCTCCGAGCCGCAACCGCGGGGCTGAAGCCCTGCCGAGTACCCTTCCTGCCTTAGGTTTTCCTTTTTTGACGCGTCAGTTGACACCGTGACTCCCACCGCCTCCGGAACACCCGTATCGAAGCCTACCCGACGGTCCCCAGTTGTACTGACCTTTCTTCTGTCCAGCCAGCACAGCACCTCCTGGGGGTGCGCCGTCAGCCCCCGGAAAGAGCGCATTTCCTGCACTATCATTAGGAACCACCCCTTTTAAATCAATGAACTCCTCAAGCGGAAGACAGGAATTTTTTTTTTTTTTTAAATCCCCTTTATCAAATCTTATCCTCCACCTTCAAGTGCCCCCCCAATGTCCCCGCGAAGGACACGTGCCCATTTTGTTGCGCCACGCCTGGAATATTGCCACACATCTAACTGTTCTCCTGCCCCGTCAGATGTCCCCGGTACCGGTACACTGTATTCCCCTTCCCTTACCCGGCACGCCGTCACCACCACCCTTACTTCGGCCTCCCGACTGCGCTCTGGTGACCCCACCCTTTGGCACAGCGGGGACGGCCCCTTTTTTCCTTGATTATGACTCTAAAATGATTTATGCAATTTAAAAGAGTGTGGTGTGTTTATTGACTCACCGCCCGAACCCCCGTCTGCGCTGTCCTTCCATCCACCTTGCCAGGCTCTGGAGTATCCGGTGGATGCCGACTCCTGTCCGCGCTGGTCCAGCCTCAAGCCCGTAGAAGTAACACTCCTCGACCTGCTCCTCCATCCCTCATCCGACCTCCCGCTGCTGCTGTGCCTGTCATTGTCGTTGCGCTGCTCCCTGCCGTACTCACACCTGCTGATGCTCCTCCTGTGTTCCTGCTCCTGAGAACACCCCCCAGGGGGCTCCCGCTTGCCTCTGTGCCTTACGTCCATTTCCACCCGTCCATGTCCTCTCTTCTGCCCTCTGTTTGCAGTACCTGGCCTCTCCCAGGCCGCCTCATCCACTTGTGGCCCCTTTAATTAATCCTGGTTGCTGGCCTTCCTCTCCATAGCTGCTCTGCTGTGCCTGTGAAGACTCCGCCTGCTGCTTTCACTATACCCTTCCTTCACCTCTGACCTGACCCTGGCCCCATCCAGGGCCGCCTCCGTCTGTGTCCCGCCGACCTGGACCCCCCCCGCCTGCCCATTGGGGGGGGGGGACCGCTTTTACACTGCTGGGCCCTTGCATCATTCCCCCTGTCACTCAGGTATGCCATCAGGGGCAGACTCACCAGGACGCCTCTTGCCGCTCTCCCTGCCTGGCGGCCATCATGTCATGCTGGATTCCGCCGTCCTTTGTGCTTTCCCGCCCCCCTGCCTTATTGCAGGGGGCGCTCTTCCTGACCTTCCGTCTTGCCTGACCGGCGCCGCGTTGAACATACGGCGCCAGCCGCCCTCCAACTCCTGCCTGCTTTCCGACCTCATTCTCAGCCTTCCCCTTGCCGCCTCCTGACAGGCTCACGGGCTGCCGAACTAACGATGTCACTCACAGGCTGCCGCTGGGGCGTCCTCGCTCTCCTTGCTGGCCTCTGTTCCACCGCCGCGTGGGGGGGGTAGCAGACGTGCTCGGGGCCCCCCAGCTGCTCCTGCAGCCACCAGCCACGATTCTGCCACAACCTTTGTGACCAAGCTGGTGGCTTGCTTGGAGTTCTGTCTGAGGCTGCTGGGAGTGAGCATGCAGTAGCAGCAGCTCACTCCAGCCTCTCCTGTACCTCCATGCTGTCTCCTGTACCTCCATGCTGCAGATGGGAGTGAGCATGCAGCAGCAGCAGCTTACTCCAGCCTCTCCTGTACCTCCATGCTGTCTCCTGTCTCAGTACTGCCTGTTCTCCATGCTGCTGATGGGAGTGATCATGTAGTAGCAGCTCACTCCAGCCTCTCCTGTATCTCCATGCTGCCTCCTGTCTCAGTACTGCCTGTTCTTCTATGCTGCCTCCATGCTGCTGATGGGAGTGATCATGTAGTAGCAGCTCACTCCAGCCTCTCCTGTATCTCCATGTTGCCTGTTCTCCTATGCTGCCTCCATGCTGCTGCCTTCTCCCTCCAGGGCAGGCAGCTTTCACAACTGACAGGTAAGCTTAGGTTCAGTTAAAATGGCCACTTCCTATAATGGCTGGTATAAATACTCCCCTTATGGTTCCGCCCTACCCAGCATGCTGGCTGTCACTAAATTCCTGTGGCTGCTATGCCTACCTCCTGGCTCTGTCAAGGCCTATTCCTCTTAGCTGCGCTGATCCATGGGCTACAATCTAAGAGCTCTGCTGTATTGCTCATGGACGGTACAATCCCCGTCTAAGGATGTATGGTGGTATAGGCAGTGCCGGTGCTCCAAATGGAATGCAAATATGCCTGGTATATATAGAGACAAAAAGAAAAACAAAAAAACTCCAATGGTATAGTAAATACTGATAGAAAAAAAGGTAATGTACTTACATTTACCAGAGCAAGACTTGCTCTAGTTAAAGCAGCATGGGTGGTATAAATCCTCACCTAAGGATGTACTGGTACCAGGTAGCAAATGGAAAGCAAATAGCTATAAAAAGTAACTTTAGTTGAAACAAAGTGTTAAAAGCAATAAAAGGATCTAAAATTAGATGCAAAAGTCCCACTTGACGCGTTTCGCCTGTTCAAAGACTTTTTCGAAAAACTAGAAAAAAAAGCCATTGAAGATCTGAAGATTTATGTACGTATAAATTTTGGGTGCAGTATACGCCATACACTTTACTACGCAGCGGGTAGGAGCTTTAATAATAATATCATAGGGGGTATATTGTCACCCACGCCATCCTCCATCCATCAGTGGCGGGTGGGGGCTCTAAATAATAAAACAAGGAGGGAACCTAATGTTCCTCACCCCAGCTCCCAATCATTAGCAGCAGTTCTAATTATACTTACCATCTAAAATCTTTTTTCTTGTAAATCTTCTAATGTTTGGCCACAAAAAATAAATAAAAATCCAGAATTAAAGGACCACTATAGTGCCCGGAAAACATACTCGTTTTCCTGTCACTATAGTGCCCTGAGGGTGCCCCCACCCTCAGGGACCCCCTCCCGCCCGGCTCTGGAAAGGGGAAAGGAGTTTAAACTTACCTTTTTCCAGCGCTGGGCGGGGAGCTCTCCTTGTTCTCTCCTCCTCTTCTCCTCCCCGTCGGCTGAATGCGCACGCGCGGCAAGAGCTGCGCGCGCATTCAGCCTGTCACATAGGAAAGCCTTCATAATGCTTTCCTATGGACGCTGGTGTGCTCTCACTGTGAAAATCACAGTGAGAAGCACGCAAGCGCCTCTAGTGGCTGTCAATGAGACAGCCACTAGAGGAAATAGGGGAAGGCTTAACCCATTCACAAACATAGCAGGTTCTCTGAACCAGTTAACCCTAGAAGGACCTGGCACCCAGACCACTTCATTAAGCTGAAGTGGTCTGGGTGCCTAGAGTGGTCCTTTAACTTTTGAAATAAAAAAAGCTGGATGACAAAGAAAACAGATAAAAAATAAAACATAAATCCATCTAATTATTAGTATTATGAAAGTGGGAATAGCATTTATAAAGTATTTATAAAGGCTTTCCCAAGCTTGGAATTCTCATTATAGTGCTCTGATTGGTTGGCTTGTAAGCACTATGACCGGCAAGTCTCATTTCTCTCACGACTTGGCATGGGCATTTTGTTACATTGTTGGAATTTTCAGATTGATTGTATCAATATATTTACTGACACATCATCACCCATTAAAAGAACACTTCAACACCATAACCACAACAGCTAGCCACAGGTATCCTCCACTACCAAAGACAGGAGCCAGAGGTTCCTAAGCTGAATTCCTAAGCATCAGATGACTGCTGTCAGCCAATGGGCTAAGCCCTGCGTAGCACGTCTTAGCTCATGAGAGCTAAAGGAAGGTCCGGCATAGGAGATACTGGTTGGTGGTGAACTGCAGTGGTTACGGTGTTTGATACATTGTGATTGGGCCAGATTGGCGTGTCTAACGAGGAGGGGGAAATATGAACATGGGGGAGTAGGGTAAAGGAGAGGTGAATAGGGAATAAGAAGCATTATATCTTTATTTCGGGAAGGAGGGCTCCTTCAGCCACAGACTCAATGTGGATTAGCAGGGCCACTTTGGCTCTTGGTTTATTTTGCACTTTAATTAGTGACTACGCTGGTTTGAGAGAGATCCCAGCTTTGTTTGAAGGACGATTAAAGGTTGTTATATCGTTTTATATGAACTCAGTAACATTTAATAGTTCTATCCTCATGAACACTAACACTGTTTCTACCAAGTAAGACATGTCTATATCGTTAAGGTAAACACTTGGTATAAATAGATTGAGGTGAATGGGAGATCTGTGTATTGTTTAGTTTGATTGTCTATTTCTTCAATAGATAAATCACTGAGAACGGAGCACTATAAAAATAGCAAAGAGAGGAGATCGATGAAAAGTAAAATTGAAAAATGGAATGTGAGACATGTATACAGTGGGCGCAGATAGTGCTCGCTACATGAGTCTTATAGCATGTGAGACAGGGTGAAATAAACCGCCTAAATTTTGGCATTTTCAATTTACTACAATTTGCTGTTTAGTGAATTAATCTCATTGTTTATGTTTCCTTGAACATTATTTAAACTAATTGTCAGAATCAATGTGTCAAACGAAATAACCAATCACTGTCTTCCTTTACAGGTGCTGGACTCGGAATTATAACATGAACTACTGGCTGATTATACGACTTCCCATCCTGATTGCTATTGGGGTAAGGGGCTAATAAAAACCCACTGAAAGGGGGTTAGGGGGCAGATATGGAATAAACTCTTTCACACACACACGCCTTTATACACACTCACAAACTCTCCCTCACATGCTGTCAGACCCACACTCACACACTGTCAGACCCACACTCACATACTCTCACACTCACACACCCACACACTGTATGACCCACACTCACACACTGTCAGACCCACACATACACTGTCAGACTTACACACTGTAAGACCCACACTCACACATTGTCAGACGGTAACCCACACATTGTCAGATGGTGACCCACACATTGTCAGACTCACACTCACACACGGTCAGACTCACACACTCTCAGACTCACACACTGTCATACCCACACTCACACACTGTCAGACTCACACTCACACACTGTCAGACCCACACTCACAGACTGTCAGACCCACACTCACACACTGTCAGACTCACACTCTGTGACGAGACCAATCTCGCCACATTGCATTGGAGAAGCCTGGTTGCTCGCCTGCTGCCTTTGGACTATGGCCCCCTGTTAAAAGACATCTTTTTTACCTGCAGAAAAGCTTCAGTCGTGTTTTTCTGCCTGAGTTTCAGTAGATTTGTTTGAATGTGTTATACCCCAGATGGGAATCCCATGGAGCCCATTCGTATGAAACTGACTGTAAAGACTTTGGCTCCATGGTGATTAAACTGTATTTGTGTGGTCCGAGCGCCATTCACTTAATAATGTGCGCTCAGACCTGAGCTATCTGGGGATATGTGAAATGTCTGTGTTTTATGTATAAATGTGACTTTATGTATTTTAAAGTGTTTTGTGTCTTTTTGCAACCATGTGCTTAATGGAGTCTTGTGTCTATCCTGGGAGATAATTGAATTACTTATCTCCAGGATAGAAGACTCTGAAACTGGTTTGGGCCAGAAAGCCATGCTTCATTTAGTCACAAAGGACTTTTTACTAACTTTTGAACCCCTTGTCTGATTTGTGCCATTTTTGAATATGTTGTTCCCCTGAATGGATTGATTGTGCATATGTAATTTTATGTGAATGTGATGTATGGTTTTAGAGTTATGAAAGTTGGGTAGAAAGTATGTTTTAACTGTATGTATAATTGAGTTTCCTCTCAGGATAAGGGGAGGGAATATGTGGGATGTAACTGTGATGTGATTGGTTGTTTTATACCTCCCTGTGGGTGGTCCTGTATTTGAAACACTGTAATAAAACCAGGCTGGGTGTGCCAGCACCTCAGACCACTGCTTGACCCTCAACACGGAGCCTTGTCTCGTCTTTGGGGGGATTTACTGTATGCTGCTAAGGACTGATTGCTAGGAGTGTAAGCCGCTTGGAAGCTTTTCCTGTTCGCCTGCTAGCAGCTATTCGTATGGTTCCTGTTCGTTTATTTGAAGTGCCACCTTATTCCCTTGTATGCCGTTCGGGAGTTTGGAGCATTCACTTATTGGCGGTTCGTGAGTTTTGGTGATTATTCAGTAGCTGTGCCTGTCTCTGAAAAGGGGATTATCGTCTAAGCGGTTTTTTCCCCTTTTGTGCAAAACGGTCCATTACAATTGGTGGCAGCGGTGGGATCGTTCCTACAACCAGAAGGACAGCTACAGGAGACACCATTTCTTTGGATTTTACAATTTGAGGGCAACGCATGTCTGAGTACAGCGACCCTGACAGCAACAGCATGGAACCAGCAGTGTCATACGAGGAGGAGGACCTGGATGGCCGGGATGCATTAAGGAAAGGCATCTGGTACCAGGCCCTGGATAATGTACAGTACCAGTGGGGTGAGAGTCTCCCCAGTGAAGAGCAGCGGTTGCAGAAGCAAGTGGCCCTGCGGATGCCCTTCCTGGGAGAGCAGCCCCTAGATGAATGGGTGAAGGAATTGGAGCACCGGGTATGGCAGGAGATTTGGCTGGAAGATGCATACCAGGCGCTCTGGTGGTATGGGACACAGTACCTGCCCTGGACAGCCGAGCATGACAAGCCAGAGGGACAGGAGTTTGATGGTCCTGGCTTGTTATGGGAGGCTTTTTCAGAGCCTGAATTTGGGAGCCCTACACAAGCCCGGTTCAGTGATCTCTTGGAGTGGAGGGAGAGCAGGTATGACTGGGACGACACTCACGACATTGAGCAAGACCTGGCCCACCTAGCAACCCTGGAGTGGGAACTGGAGCAGGACTACCAAGATCTCTTCCACTCCATTGAAAAGATTCAGCAGGACAGCAAGGTGACAGATCCAGTTCCAGACCCATTCAGCTGGGAAGACATTGTGGATATTTTCTGGGAAGAACCCCAGGTGGCCGGTAGAGATGGGACCGAGGTCTCTCCACCGGTATTGCAGGGAATTGGGAGCCCGAGCTCCATTCCCCAGCGGGAGATATTGCAGGGAAGGAGAGCCTGAGCTCCATTCCCCAGCGGCAGGCTGAGTTACAGGGGGCAGAGGTAGTTGTTCCTGCCCCCCAGCAGCAGAGTGATATGCCGGGAAGGCAGTGTAAAGTGCAGGGAGAGGAGAACAGCGTCCTCCCTCCCCAGCGGCAGGCTGAGATACAGGGGGCAGAGGTAGTTGTTCCTGCCCCCCAGCAGCCAAGTGATATGCCGGGAAGGCAGTGTGAAGTCCAGGGAGAGGAGAGCAGTGTCCTCCCTCCCCAGCGGCAGCGTGATTTTTTGGGAATTGGGAGCCCAGTCTCCATTCCCCAGCGGCAGTGTGATGTGCCGGGAATTGGGAGCCCAGTCTCCATTCCCCAGCGGAGATACAGCAGGGAATTGGGAGCCCAGTCTCCATTCCCCAGCGGCAGAGTGTCCTACCAGGGAATAGAGAGCCCAGTCTCCTTTCCCCAGCAGCAGGACACTGTATTGGGAGCGGAGACAGTCGGTCTCCCTCCACAGAGGATGAAAGTATGTATGGGAGAGGAGCTTGCTACCACCTCTCCCCAGCAGCGGATCATTAATGGGCAGGGAATAGAGAGCTCAGTCTCCTTTCCCCAGCGGCAGAGTGTTCTATCGGGAGAGGAGCCTGTTACCCCCTCTCCCCAGCGACAGCTTAGAGTATCCAAAGGGGAGACAGTCGGTCTCCCCCTCCGGCAGCAGAGCTGTGCAACAAAAGGGGAGACAGTCGGTCTCCAGCAGCAGAGCGGTGTAGTTAAAGGGGAGACAGTCGGTCTCCCCCTCCAACAACCAGGCTTCAACCAGGCTACCCTCCCAGTAGCGCTGGCAACAGGGCAGAGTGCCGCTGGTCTCTGCCCACGCAGCAACCCACCCAGTCAGTGTACCCGTACCCAGCACAGCTGTGGTGAGGCACCTGGACATGGACAAGCTTCTCCTTTACCCAGGTGTAGTAACCATTTATTGTGGGTGGGCTGTGCTGTTGATTATGTTTTGTGGGTGGGCTGCTGGACTAACAAGGGCACTGACCGGCAGGAGGTCAGATACCCTGTTAGTCTGTTTGGAAAAGGGGAGAGATGTGACGAGACCAATCTCGCCACATTGCATTGGAGAAGCCTGGTTGCTCGCCTGCTGCCTTTGGACTATGGCCCCCTGTTAAAAGACATCTTTTTTACCTGCAGAAAAGCTTCAGTCGTGTTTTTCTGCCTGAGTTTCAGTAGATTTGTTTGAATGTGTTATACCCCAGATGGGAATCCCATGGAGCCCATTCGTATGAAACTGACTGTAAAGACTTTGGCTCCATGGTGATTAAACTGTATTTGTGTGGTCCGAGCGCCATTCACTTAATAATGTGCGCTCAGACCTGAGCTATCTGGGGATATGTGAAATGTCTGTGTTTTATGTATAAATGTGACTTTATGTATTTTAAAGTGCTTTGTGTCTTTTTGCAACCATGTGCTTAATGGAGTCTTGTGTCTGTCCTGGGAGATAATTGAATTACTTATCTCCAGGATAGAAGACTCTGAAACTGGTTTGGGCCAGAAAGCCATGCTTCATTTAGTCACAAAGGACTTTTTACTAACTTTTGAACCCCTTGTCTGATTTGTGCCATTTTGAATATGTTGTTCCCCTGAATGGATTGATTGTGCATATGTAATTTTATGTGAATGTGATGTATGGTTTTAGAGTTATGAAAGTTGGGTAGAAAGTATGTTTTAACTGTATGTATAATTGAGTTTCCTCTCAGGATAAGGGGAGGGAATATGTGGGATGTAACTGTGATGTGATTGGTTGTTTTATACCTCCCTGTGGGCGGTCCTGTATTTGAAAAGACTGTAATAAAAACCAGGCTGGGTGTGCCAGCACCTCAGACCACTGCTTGACCCTCAACACGGAGCCTTGTCTCGTCTTTGGGGGGATTTACTGTATGCTGCTAAGGACTGATTGCCAGGAGTGTAAGCCGCTTGGAAGCTTTTCCTGTTCGCCTGCTAGCAGCTATTCGTATGGTTCCTGTTCGTTTATTTGAAGTGCCACCTTATTCCCTTGTATGCCGTTCGGGAGTTTGGAGCATTCACTTATTGGCGGTTCGTGAGTTTTGGTGATTATTCAGTAGCTGTGCCTGTCTCTGAAAGGGGGATTATCGTCTAAGCGGTTTTTTCCCCTTTTGTGCAAAACGGTCCGTTACACACTCACACACTGTCATACTCACACACTGTCAGACTCACACTCACACACTGTCACACCCACACTCACACACTGTCAGACTCACACTCACACACTGTCACACCCACACTCACAGACTGTCAGACCCACACTCACACACTGTCAGACTCACACTCACATACTGTCATACTCACACTCACACAATGTCATACTCACACTGTCAGACTCACACGCACACACTGTCAGACTCACACACTGTCACACCCATTTTACTGCTGTAGCCCACCATTAAGCAGTGGTGCTCTCAGTCAGTGGATGGGTGTCGGTGATAGACGTTAACCCCCTTTCCGCATTAGTTTAGGCAGAATAGGCAGCTCAGCTAGTGTAGGACCGGCTGCCAGGAGATTAAGGAAGACCTGGGAGTTGTGCCAAGCACATACAGAGTCTGTTTCTATTGAGCTCACCCAATGACCGAGTCTGCTGCTGTTGATTTAAAGAAATATATTTAAAAGGAAACCAATGAAGGTAACCATTTCAACCTCCCCAGCTCCTGCCTCCAGGCCTTGTTGTTCTTTTAGAGAATATATCCCTGATATCATACCTCATACCTCACTGTCAGAGGTGAATGTGCCATTAATTATGTGATCACATGATTATCTACACAGGGACATGAATAATGTAATAATTAAAGGAGCACTGTTCTATTTTGTCTGCAGATCACTGAAGTTGTAAAGGAGAAGGGAGTTTACAGGAAACTTCTTACCTTTAGGGGTTAACATGTTTTGTAATGGTTTACCCCCGAAGTGGGTCCTCTGGTGCCCAACACGGCTGCCCCAAGCTTCCTTCCTCTTTGCCTCCATTCTCACTCTATTGCCAGACGCCTAGTGAAACAAATGGTATGTACTAATTCTCTCACTAAGTGGCCAGAGATATGCTGAGAGGATTAGTGGATGTTTTTAGGATCACCGGCCACCGAGCAAAACTCTACCCACACTGCGGTGACAGCGAGAGGAAGGGAGCCGGGAGCAATGGTGTCCAGAGGTCCAACTACAAGGTTAAACCACTGCAATATGGACAGCGGCTGGACATTTCAACACCATAACAAATTCAATGAGTGGGTTTGGTGGAAGCGATCGTCTGATAATTAAATCAACCTATCATCAGAATAAAATGCTGTCGTTATGTAGCGATAAACCTTTGATCCAGCAATTTCTAAGATTCACCGAAGCCATCGTTTAAGGAAACAAAAAGACGCCTGCCAACTCTAAGTTCATTTTTGTAATTTTCTTAACAGCGTATTCCAAATCACAGCTTTTATTTATAATTTTATTTATATATAGATTAGAAAACATGGGATGAGCATTTAGTTAACTTTCACAGAAATTGTATTGATTTGTGATAATGTGTTGTGTCTGAGAGAAAATCATGTATAAAAGTGTTTTCTTTTCAGCTCTTGAGGTATAAGATGTTATAACTAAACCCTCGGTCCCCGAACACTTGAAATAAAATGTGTTTTGTTTGTTAACAGGTGAACTTTGTGATCTTTATCAGAGTGATTTGCATTATCATCTCCAAGCTGCAGGCAAATCTCATGTGCAGAACTGACACCAAATGCAGGTGAGTTAATGGCGGCAGTAAATCTAGCAAAGGCGATAAAGCACACTGCGCAGAGTTACAGCGTGTAATCCATTCTGCCGCAACGATATTCTAAATCAGACCGTGAAATGCTGGTGGCGGAGTGTGGCAGGCTGGCTGCACAGGGACCCATCAGACATCTCTCACCGCATTCTACTGAACGTTACAATATTTTATAATTCAATTGCCATTCACACACTACACAGAAACACTATCACTGTAACACAATACAGAGATACACTATCACTGTAACACAATACAGAGATACACTATCACTGTAACACAATACAGAGATACACTATCACTGTAACACAATACACAGATACACTATCACTGTAACACATTACACAGATACACTATCACTATAACACAATACACAGAAACACTATCACTGTAACACAATACAGAGATACACTATCACTGTAACACAATACACAGATACACTATCACTGTAACACATTACACAGATACACTATCACTGTAACACAATACAGAGATACACTATCACTATAACACAATACACAGATACACTATCACTGTAACACAATACACAGATACACTATCATTGTAGCACAATACACAGAAACACTATCACTGTAACACAATACACAGATACACTATCACTATAACACATTACACAGATACACTATCACTGTAACACAATACACAGACAAACTATCATTGTAACACAATACACAGATACACTATCACTGTAACACAATACACAGATACACTATCATTGTAACACAATACACAGATACACTATCACTGTAACACAATACACAGACACACTATCACTGTAACACAGTACACAGCTTGTTATATTGAATTTCTATTTCTAAAAATAGTGACTTGCTATACAAACTATTGTGGACTAAAGTTTTTATCAGTCTCAGCCTGGACTGAAGTTGTTATGGTCCACTTTAACTATTTAGAAAACGGAGGTCCTGCTACCTCAGTACACCAGATGTATATTTAACTAGCGACAGCCAGAATCTCACTGAGCATGATATGGCTCCATTTGATGGGACAAAAAAAAATATGAAAAGTAGCTCAAAGGAGGGCAGAACACAAAAACCAGAACCAATGTATGTTTTTATTTTATGTGATAGTTAGGGAGCGGCTGTTAGAATGATCGTCTAAAGTAGAATTGCTTTACTTTTTTTAGCATCTGCGAAGTATGTTAAACAAATACTGTGTAGAAAGTATCTGTATGTCAGACTTCTTCATTCCATAACAGCTCTTCATAGAGAGAGATTTCTATTTTATTAATGGAGTATCTTTATAAATTATTTATTTATTAAAGGGACACTATAGTCACAAGAACAACTACAGCTTTTTGCATTTGTTCTGGTGAGTAGAATCATTACCTTCAGGCTTTTTGCAGTAAACACAGTTTGTTTCAGAGAAAATGCAGTGTTTACATTACAGCCTAGTAATACCTCCACTGGCCACTTCTCAGATGGCTGCTAGAGGTGCTTCCTAGGGCACTGCTGCATTCAGTGTCTCCACCCTCTGCATGCAGACAGTGAACTTTCCTCATAGAGGTGCATTGATTCAATGTATCTCTATGAGGAGATGATGATTGGCCAGGGATGTGTTTGAATTGTGCTATGCCAATTCTATGGAGAAGCATTGTGATTGGCTCAGATGAACACTTCTGATGATGTCAGCCAAGGAGGCAGATCAGATAAATGTAAGATCTTATATATATTATATTTAGGGGGCCATATAGTGTTTTTAATACTATAGGGTCAGGAATACATGTTTGTTTTCCTGACCCTCTAGTGTTCCTTTAATGGATTGCATTTTTATCATTTCTAGTCAAGCAGAAAAGTTCCAATACATAAAATCTCAGTAGCGCTGACTGACCACTTAGCCATATCGGTCATGGACCGAGGACTCAAGGCAGTCTGGGGCCCGGATGCATAGATATGGCAGAGATGGGGAGATCGGAAGATCTTCCCATCTGGTCCAGCATAATTTAGTATGTTTTATTCAATTTATATTTACAGGCCTCTACCGTTGTGGGGCTCGTATCCTATCACTCTATCCCCTTCTCCAACTCCTAGTTAGAAAGGCACGAGTGGACACTAACCAGGGCTGGGGTATTTTTGATTTTAGCAATGTCTCCCAACAATAAGAAATATGGATCTAGCAAGAAGTGGTGGGCTGGCCAACAGAGGTAGAGCTGATTGGTGAGTCTGCCAAGTACAAGGAGCTTGCCAGCGTGACATGCACCCAAATCAAGTCAACTGACAGTTTCTGTGGCCGACTTCACTCACGACAGTTGACTCTGTGCTGCACACGCTATCTAATGATGTGCTTTATGAAATGCTGATAGGGAATGACATTACGAGACCTTTAATTAAGGAGAGTTCCACCAAACCTGGGACAGTTGGGAGATATGTTTTAACCTATACACACGTTGTACCTTCGCTCTGCACGTGTGGACAGTATGTTGCACGTCGTCACACATTGCTTGTATGAGATATTCAGATGATTCTATTTGTTGATTTCTGAATACTCAATCACAAAAATACAGTCACATTCAATTTTTCTTTCACATTTGTCTTACTTTCTCATAGATTAATGTATACAAGAGCTCCACCCACAGAGACATTTGGCTCAAATTTAGTTTAATAATTAGGAGCAGTTTTATTAGGGGAACTCTCTTAGTGACTCTTTTGTGTAGTCAAAGAACCCTTTGGAATGCCCAGATCATAACTTTCTTTATTGCAAGCGAACACTTTGGGCATGTTATACAAATGAAGAGAGCACTTTCTAAACTGAGTATGTTATGCTTCTTAAAGGCTTGTTTCCTGTTGTTTTATGAAGTATGGTAGCCATCAAAACAAAATGTTACCTTATTTGAAGAACATACATGTTTCTTTGTATAACATGACTGAAGAAGAGATCTGCGTGGTGTTTGAGGCTCTCACTCTACAAGTCTACCTTTGTAGCTATAGAGGATCACTATTGTGTCCTGAGACACTCAGGTAGTGTACCTCATGTGAGTCAAGGAAGGGTATGGAGAAGGATGCGGAGGGAACAAAGTGACATGGGAGAGAGTATTGAATCAGAGGAAAATGCTCCTACTGAATAGCAATCCTTTTAATCAATGGGAGGCACATTGTGTTATTAGGAGGAGAAAAAATAACACAATTATCAAATAACTGCTTTTCACCCCAAATAGAATCCAGCACTTGGTGCGTGATCTGCTTTGCAAAACCTACACAAAACCTATCCGCTGTCTCCATACCTCTCGCCAGAAGCTCTATATCTTTTTCATGGCTAGCTGGGATAGCAAAAAACTCCAGCAAAATGCTTAATTATAGATAAGCACCTTGTGATAAACACGCTGTCTCGTAGTCTGGCACAGTTTAAATGTTCTGCGAGCGCAGGCTCACATTTTGTTACTATAATATCCGCACAGTGCAAATTGAGAACAATACTTCCAACCTATTTCAGAAAGCTGAAACCGTGCAGTAATTATCTAGGTTAATTTAGTCATTAGTATTCTGTAAGATATAGTATCAGTCTTTGGCCAAGCAATAAATCCAGGGAGCACAATGTCGACTGCTGAGTTGGCTTTATTCAGTAAAGAGTCTTTGAAGGACATCTCCCCTGAAACTAAATATTTATGGGCCAAATAGAATATTTAAATAAACACCTGAAGAGGCATTGGGAGACAGATTAGATCCTTTCAGAGACTTTATCCAGCTGGCAAAGAAGGAATAACTCAGGTCTATAACTTCAAGGCTGAGTAGTATACACTCAACGTGGAGCAAAATCCAGAGGGCACGGCATAGTTAGCTCATCCTCTGAGATATATATTTGTTATTTAAACGTTTGTGTTTATTAGGGCTATGCAAATATAGTCAGTTACAAACAGAACAATTTATATTTCGACATGGCAGTATATAAAGTACTGAGAACAATGCTCATCATTCCGAAGTCTGGAGATTTTAGCATTTTCATCCACAGTAGCAAGATGATCTGTGGGTTTAACACGTGAAGGGGATCTGGGATCACGGAGTTTGAGACAGAAAATTATTTTCAGTTGATGCTTTGAAAATGTAATGTTTAGGTTTTGTGCAATTAACATGTCAGAGAGATAGATAAAAAGTAATTAGAGATAGATTGAGCTTATAAAGTAAAATAAAAGAGGATGAGTGGGTCAGTGGTAGTAGAACGGATTTCTCATGGGAGAAGGCTGGGGATTTGTCACTGGAAGTTAGGGTTCCAGAAGATTGACCTAGAATATTTGTGGGTTGTTTTTGCAGCAGCAAATTGGGGTTCAGGTAGATTAACGTAATGAAGCTATGAATTGAGAATAGGCGGCAGAAGACGACTGAGTATAATATTAATATTTTTTTTTATTATGCTGTTCAGTGTAAGATAAGAAAAATGTCCAGAGGTTAATGCAAGTCTTTTTATAGAAATAACTACTTTATAGCTTTTTTTTTTCTTTATCAACAAATGATATTTAGTCTTTTCATTCCACCTGACATTATTACTTGTGTATTGCAAATTCCAGTACATCGGTCCAGCACCAAGAAGCTTTTATTGGTCGATATGTTAATATTCTTTTGATGTATTGGGTCTATGAAAAAGCCTAATTTGTTCCCACAGGACTTTACCACCCAGGGGGACTGCTAGATATTACGCATTTAAACTTGATTTCTTTTGAAAAATGTATTTAAATTGTTTGGTACGTTGTGGCAGGCTTATGCAATGTATGATCACATAACGTAAGTAAACCCCCATTATTTTTGCTTAGATTAGGTGTTTTAAAAAAAAACTAATAAAATCTTTCAACATTAAAGTTGATGTTTAGTGGATAGGTGAGTGCGCTGGATCTTGTGTAATATTTAAATAGTTTGGTGACTTAGACACTGTGTTTTTAGCGTTTTGTATACAAATCTGCAAAAAGTCTCTGATCTACTCACAGTGCTGAAATATACACCGATCTGCATATATGACTTGGATTTAGCTGGCTTTCAAATGTTTATTTCACTTTTATGTGCTTGAATTTATTTATTTATTTCTATGAATACATTTGTGAGAAAATAGTCATAAAATGATTGTGTGTTGTTTGTAAAAATCCATTGCCAATAGAAAATGTCATGAAATTTATGGAACATTAATATTTGTTCAATGTGATGGTATCTCTTTGCGAGATAATACTATGACAGCTTAACGTGTCTCTCTAAGCACCACAGCCACTACAACTTATTATAGTAATTGTGTTGTAGGTTGTCAAAACATTTTTCTTCAGTTAGAGAAAACCCAATCCTTCTGCTGATAGTCAGATAAGATGTTTTGTATAATCCTGTGACCTTTACACAGCAGTTATCGTCTGTGTGTGCTGAGAGCAGTTTTAAATCCTCAGTGGAGGTGGTGCTCCCCCCACCCCATATTTTTTTTCCATCACTACTAAAACTTTGAAAAAAGTGGGCCATCTGCTGCCAGAGACATTTTTTACAAAGCCACTGAAATAAAGTGCCATGATTAGTGTGTGTACAATGCTTACATTTAATCTACAATAAACAATGTATAAATGTATATCTGCCAATAACATGGATACCATGATCGAATCAGAACTGCTTCCCAGTGGCAAATATTAATATCGGAAATGAACAATTAAACCTGCTTTATGGGACACATTGCACCATGGTTAGCTATTATGGATGAAGGACAGGCACTGCTCAGCCTTGAGCTATGATTCCAGGACAGTAGCCTTGGATCTCACTTCTAACACCAATCAAGTAAAGCTGTGTTAGAACCCCATTTACATTAATCCTCATTACTGTAAATATTCATCTAAAAAAAAGAGAATAAATTAATTAACAACACGCATTGTTGTAAGAGATTCAATATTTATCTTTTTTAAGCATTAAAATATGCACCATTTTCTGTTCTTCGTTTTATATTAGTGAAGTTGTGATTATTTTTAAATTTAAGGTAAATGTTACATGTTCTTACAAAACTTGCTTTTTTTTCTTCTTACTGTTTTGTTCCATCTAACTGTAGACTTGCCAAATCCACTCTGACACTGATCCCTTTACTGGGAACCCATGAAATTATCTTTGCATTTATCACGGATGAACATGCTAAGGGGATCATACGCTACATCAAACTCTTCTTTGAATTATCCTTCAGCTCCTTCCAGGTAATGAGAAAAGCCATAATGCGTCCATCCATGTACATTAACACCTTCATGCTCAAAACAATGAGAAGTTGTGTGCTCCTATGTTGACTAATCATAGGCCACTTAACTCGCAATTTCACCAGCAACAGTCTACAGTTGGAAGGGGAACAAATTCCGTGACAAAATTTCCACTTCCACTGTGTCTGTGAAATAATGTTTCCTCCTCCATCATGGTAAGATCAGAGGCCTTATTAGATTAAACTTTGTGGTTGTATTCTAGTAGTCTATGAGAGGGCATAACACAGAGCTTCTTTGCAGGCTGCAATATCAGACTGCAATGTACTATATGTTACAAATACTCTGTGTCAATTAATGTACTTACTGTATGTAGACAGTATGCAAACAACGAATCACGTCCTTAAATAAAATATAAACATCTGGCTTGATTAAAGACACAGAAAGGATACGTCATAAACATAACTCCAGAAACTATGATATTAAGATTTAAGTGTTTGTTTGTGTCCACTTAAGCATTACTCTATGTGAAAATACTATAATTTTATTAATGACAGGAGGCTTCATATTTGCTTAAGTCTCTCTTTACTAGAACTCCACAGCAGCACAGAAAAACGACCAATCAGAAAAAAGTTAGGTACTATAAAACCCCCCTCCCCATGCATCATTGCCTCTTTCTTTGCTGCTCCGCATCAGTACAGGTCAGAGTACCACTGCCTCCTGCTAATATTAGTAGAGGGCTTTGGGATTTTATTGCTTATATTCAGTATTTTAGTCTTATACATGCAGTATGTTATAATCCTTGTGGGATTTTATTCTTATAATGCAGTATGTTATAATACTTGGGGGATTTTATTTTTATAATGCAGTATGTTATAATCCTTGAGGGATTTTATTCCTATAATGCAGTACTGTTATATCCATGTGGGATTTTATTCTTATAATGCAGTATTGTTATAATCCTTGTGGGATTTTATTCTTATAATGCAGTATGTTATAATCCTTGTGGGATTTTATTCTTATAATGCAGTATGTTATAATCCATGTGGGATTTTATTCTTATAATGCAGTATGTTATAATCCTTGAGGGATTTTATTCTTTTCAAATAATTTTTATTAAAGTTTTTTTTTTTTTTGTATAACAAATGATAATAATACAAACATTGTATTAGGGGTAGGAAAGGAGGGGTAACATGGAAATGGGAAGGGGTATCCATCCATCAATGAAATAAACATATTAAAGTATACGGCAAAAAGAAAAATGTTTTACAACAATGCACTTTAACAATAAATATATCAAAGACCATAAACTGTTTTGATTTTTTCTTCCCATTTATCCCAGTTGTATTTTAGTATTGGGAAACCATGCATATTGGCTCTGTGTGATAATTCATGTGCCTTATTTTCTAAAATCAAATTAAAAACTTCTCTGAGAGATGGCACATTTTGAGATGTCTAGGTAAACAGGATGTAGCAGCGATCAGAATGTGGCCTATGATTATTTTATCTGATCTATTAATGGACTCCAGGAGTTTTTTAAATAAGGCTAGTTCCGAGGTTAAGATACTAATGGTTCCGTTCACTTTAATAATCAGATCGTGGATCATTTTCCAATAATTAATTAACTTGGGGCAGAACCACCAGATATGGGCCATATTGCCCACTCCCCCACAATCTCTCCAACACCAGTCAGAATACATATTGTTCATGTTATGTAATCTAGACGGAGCCAGGTACCAGCGATATAAGATTTTATAATGATTTTCAAAATGGTCGGTGCAATACGAAATACCTTTTAAACCTGTAAAGAAACCGAACCATTCTTCTAAATCGTACTGGGGGATTTTATTCTTATAATGCAGTATGTTATAATCCATGTGGGATTTTATTCTTATAATGCAGTATGTTATAATCCTTGTGGGATTTTATTCTTATAATGCAGTATGTTATAATCCTTGAGGGATTTTATTCTTATAATGCAGTATGTTATAATCCTTGTGGGATTTTATTCTTATAATGCAGTATGTTATAATCCTTGTGGGATTTTATTCTTATAATGCAGTATGTTATAATCCTTGTGGGATTTTATTCTTATAATGCAGTATGTTATAATCCATGTGGGATTTTATTCTTATAATGCAGTGTTATATAACTCTTGAGGGATTTTTATTTTATAATGCAGTATGTTATAACTATGTGGGATTTATTCTTATAATGTAGGTATGTTATAACTTGAGATTTTACTCTTTTATAATGCAGTATGTTATAATCCTTAGGGATTTATTCCTTATAATGCAGTATGTTATAACTTTGTGGATTTTATTCTTATAATGATGGCAATCCATGGGATTTTATTCTTATAATGCAGTATGTTATAATCCTTGAGGGATTTTATTCTTATAATGCAGTATGTTATAATCCTTGTGGGATTTTATTTTTATAATGCAGTATGTTATAATCCTTGTGGGATTTTATTCTTATAATGCAGTATGTTATAATCCATGTGGGATTTTATTCTTATAATGCAGTATGTTATAATCCATGTGGGATTTTATTCTTATAATGCAGTATGTTATAATCCATGTGGGATTTTATTCTTATAATGCAGTATGTTATAATCCTTAAGGGATTTTATTCTTATAATGCAGTATGTTATAATCCTTGTGGGATTTTATTCTTATAATGCAGTATGTTATAATCCATGTGGGATTTTATTTTATAATGCAGTATGTTATAATCCATGTGGGATTTTATTCTTATAATGCAGTATGTTATAATCCTTGTGGGATTTTATTCTTATAATGCAGTATGTTATAATCCTTGTGGGATTTTATTCTTATAATGCAGTATGTTATAATCCATGTGGGATTTTATTCCTATAATGCAGTATGTTATAATCCTTGAGGGATTTTATTCTTATAATGCAGTATGTTATAATCCTTGTGGGATTTTATTCTTATAATGCAGTATGTTATAATCCTTGTGGGATTTTATTCTTATAATGCAGTATGTTATAATCCTTGTGGGATTTTATTCTTATAATGCAGTATGTTATAATCCTTGTGGGATTTTATTCTTATAATGCAGTATGTTATAATCCTTGTGGGATTTTATTCTTATAATGCAGTATGTTATAATCCTTGTGGGATTTTATTCTTATAATGCAGTATGTTATAATCCTTGAGGGATTTTATTCTTATAATGCAGTATGTTATAATCCTTGAGGGATTTTATTCCTATAATGCAGTATGTTATAACTTTGCGGGATTTTATTCTTATAATGCAGTATGTTATAATCCTGTGGGATTTTATTCTTATAATGCAGTATGTTATAACTTGTGATTTTATTCTTATAATGCAGTATGTTATAATTCCGTGGGATTTTATTCTATAATGGCATGCTGCAACCCGAGGATTTGCCTTATAATGCAGTATGTTATAATCCATGTGGGATTTTATTCCTATAATGTAGTATGTTATAATCCTTGAGGGATTTTATTCTATAATGCAGTATGTTAGAATCCCGGATTTTTAATTTTATAATGCAGTATAAGTTATAATCCTTGAGGATTTTATTCTTATAATGCAGTATGTTAAATCCTTTTGTGGGATTTATTCTTATAATGCAGTATGTTATAACTTTGTGGGATTTTATTATCTCTTTATAATGCAGTATGTTACAATCCTGAGGATTTTATTCTTATAATGCAGTATGTTAGGAACTTCAGGGATTTTATTCTTATAATGCAGTATGTTATAATCCTTGTGGGATTTTATTCTTATAATGCAGTATGTTATAATCCATGTGGGATTTTATTCTTATAATGCAGTATGTTATAATCCTTGAGGGATTTTATTCTTATAATGCAGTATGTTATAATCCTTGTGGGATTTTATTTTTATAATGCAGTATGTTATAATCCTTGTGGGATTTTATTCTTATAATGCAGTATGTTATAATACTTGGGGGATTTTATTCTTATAATGCAGTATGTTATAATCCTTGTGGGATTTTATTCTTATAATGCAGTATGTTATAATCCATGTGGGATTTTATTCTTATAATGCAGTATGTTATAATCCTTGAGGGATTTTATTCTTATAATGCAGTATGTTATAATCCTTGTGGGATTTTATTCTTATAATGCAGTATGTTATAATCCTTGTGGGATTTTATTCTTATAATGCAGTATGTTATAATCCTTGTGGGATTTTATTCTTATAATGCAGTATGTTATAATCCTTGAGGGATTTTATTCTTATAATGCAGTATGTTATAATCCTTGAGGGATTTTATTCTTATAATGCAGTATGTTAGAATCCTTGTGGGATTTTATTCCTATAATGCAGTATGTTATAATCCTTGTGGGATTTTATTCTTATAATGCAGTATGTTAGAATCCTTGTGGGATTTTATTCTTATAATGCAGTATGTTATAATCCTTGTGGGATTTTATTCTTATAATGCAGTATGTTATAATCCTTGAGGGATTTTATTCTTTTCAAATAATTTTTATTAAAGTTTTTTTTTTTTTGTATAACAAATGATAATAATACAAACATTGTATTAGGGGTAGGAAAGGAGGGGTAACATGGAAATGGGAAGGGGTATCCATCCATCAATGAAATAAACATATTAAAGTATATGGCAAAAAGAAAAATGTTTTACAACAATGCACTTTAACAATAAATATATCAAAGACCATAAATTGTTTTGATTTTTTCTTCCCATTTATCCCAGTTGTATTTTAGTATTGGGAAACCATGCATATTGGCTCTGTGTGATAGTTCATGTGCCTTATTTTCTAAAATCAAATTAACAACTTCTCTGAGAGATGGCACATTTTGAGACTTCCAATGTCTAGGTAAACAGGATGTAGCAGCGATCAGAATGTGGCCTATGATTATTTTATCTGATCTATTAACAGACTCCGGGAGTTTTTTAAATAAGGCTAGTTCCGAGGTTAAGATACTAATGGTTCCGTTCACTTTAATAATCAGATCGTGGATCATTTTCCAATAATTAATTAACTTGGGGCAAAACCACCAGATATGGGCCATATTGCCCACTCCCCCACAGTCTCTCCAACACCGGTCAGAATACATATTGTTCATGTTATGTAATCTAGACGGAGCCAGGTACCAGCGATATAAGATTTTATAATGATTTTCAAAATGGTCGGTGCAATACGAAATACCTTTTAAACCTGTAAAGAAACCGAACCATTCTTCTAAATCGTACTGGGGGATTTTATTCTTATAATGCAGTATGTTATAATCTATGTGGGATTTTATTCTTATAATGCAGTATGTTATAATCCTTGAGGGATTTTATTCTTATAATGCAGTATGTTATAATCCTTGAGGGATTTTATTTTTATAATGCAGTATGTTATATCCATGTGGGATTTTATTCTTATAATGCAGTATGTTATAATCCATGTGGGATTTTATTCTTATAATGCAGTATGTTATAATCCATGTGGGATTTTATTCTTATAATGCAGTATGTTAGAATCCTTGTGGGATTTTATTCTTATAATGCAGTATGTTATAATCCATGTGGGATTTTATTCTTATAATGCAGTATGTTATAATCCATGTGGGATTTTATTCTTATAATGCAGTATGTTATAATCCTTGTGGGATTTTATTCTTATAATGCAGTATGTTATAATCCTTGTGGGATTTTATTCTTATAATGCAGTATGTTATAATCCTTGTGGGATTTTATTCTTATAATGCAGTATGTTATAATCCATGTGGGATTTTATTCTTATAATGCAGTATGTTATAATCCTTGTGGGATTTTATTCTTATAATGCAGTATGTTATAATCCTTGTGGGATTTTATTCTTATAATGCAGTATGTTATAATCCTTGTGGGATTTTATTCTTATAATGCAGTATGTTATAATCCATGTGGGATTTTATTCTTATAATGCAGTATGTTATAATCCTTGTGGGATTTTATTCTTATAATGCAGTATGTTATAATCCTTGTGGGATTTTATTCTTATAATGCAGTATGTTATAATCCTTGTGGGATTTTATTCTTATAATGCAGTATGTTATAATCCATGTGGGATTTTATTCTTATAATGCAGTATGTTATAATCCTTGAGGGATTTTATTCTTATAATGCAGTATGTTATAATCCTTGAGGGATTTTATTCTTATAATGCAGTATGTTATTGCCTTGGTCCTTGTGTAAATTTTCCTTACACATGCAGTTTTGTTATAACCCCTGTGGGACTTTATCTTTACTTGTAACTTCAGACTATCACTGTTATATACCTATTTAGTTTGGATTTCTGGAGGGTCTTTGGGGTCCTCCTGTCTCCTCTAGCACCTTGGCCTTGTCCCCCCCTGTCCGTCTTCCAGCTTTGTGTATGCCCGTTGTTATAATTTTTGTTCCACCTTGTCAGTTTCTGGCGGTGTCGTTAGATCTAATTCAATGCAGGAGGGACGCCCCTCTATGCAGTCATCGATGTCCTGTACAGGTACAAGCCTGTGTGATGAACAAAAGGACGGCACCGTAGAGCGTTGAGTGTACGAGAGAGCCGCACTCTCTAATAATGTGACCGAATTCTGTGTCAGCGTCAGGCTGATAGCCTGAGCGTGCCGCACCCGTTAAAAACCAAACAGTAGAGTCTACATCCATGACCGGTTCTCTCTACAAGAATGTGTAACTCCAAACATGTCCTCTGTATCCAGCTCAGTATCGGGCTGAGGTTGAGGGAGGGCCGCACCCTCTAATAACAAATCAGTGTCCGGTTCTGTATATGAGAGGGGTTCGCTCTCTGTTCCTGAAAATAAAATAAAATAAAATATAATTCTCGGATCGAGGTGATGGAGGGCCGCACCCTCTTGTGATCCAAACTAGAGTCCCTTAGATACTCAGGGTTACCAACTGCAGGGGTACACCAATTACTAATATCAGCATAAGACTGAGGTCCTTAGGTGGGTCTCTCTCCGACCACGAGACCTCTCTCTGAATCACTCACCTGAGAAGGAACCAACTGGTAGTAAACCAGACCGATGGCAGATGGTCTAGTATACAACCTCGAGCCGTATCCATCCTAATAACAGAAAAGGATGGTGTGAAAATGCAACCTTCGGAAACAATGATGGAAACTACCAACTGACCGCCCGGATCCCATGCGCAATCCACGGGAGCCCGAGAGGTCGATGGAGGTCAAGTCATGCCTCTCGACGACCCGAGCGATAGGAAAAGGAAGATACGAAAACAAAAACAATAATAAATGTAGATAAGAGTAAATATGTATCTCGGATAGAAGGTAAATAGCAGGCCGGAAGGCAAGTCAAGTAAGCCCCACTTAACAGGGCCAGGACCTTATGCAGAAATAACTACCGATATCTAGATGGATACCGGGAGGCAGCTAGAAGGTTAGTTGTTAAAGACAAGGAAACACTGTGTCGAATGGGCACAGACATAGCTGGTCAATCAAATAGGCACAGACATAGCAGGCCAATCAATGGGGCACAGACATAGCAGGCCAATCAATGGGGCACAGACATAGCAGGCCCGTGATAGCGTTCCGACAACCGTAGGGCCCATCTGCGTGTTTATAGTCCCCTATATATATATGTGTGTAAAGAAACAGGGAAAGCTTGAGTTAAATAATTTCAATATGTAAAACCCACTAGCAGGCTAGTAATGTGATTATAACAGCATTTTTACATAATACATCTGGATTAAGTTGCTATTATGTCTCCAGTCTAATATCACAGATGTTACAGCTACTAGTGATGAATGTGCTATAGCACTATACAGGGAACTGGCAGACTTTAATGTTTGGCCAAAGACAGAAATCCAATCTGCAGGCACCTCAGAGCAGTACAGGGTGTACTGCCTAAAGCCTATTCTCCAGCCCAGCAAAATATATATATATATATATATATATATATATATAATACCCTCTTGTTTCATATATAATACCCTCTTGTTTATATATATATATATAAATGTGGCGTCATCTTGGGTTATAGATTAACCATGAGCAGGGTGGAGGGGCCCTCATCTGATGTAAAAAAACTCCGGCCGTGATCGAAATCCGGCCTTGATTGACAGAGGGGAGGAAAGCCCCTCAAACAGACCTCCAACCAGTTAGGAACAGACGGGGGAGGGGCCGCAGGTGGAGGCGGCCGTGACGAAGCGGCCACTTGGGACAGGAGGTCCGGCCGCCGGGTCCTTGTCTCGAGCTCCCCGAGCGACCGGAAAAAACACACGGGACCACCGGAGATGAACTCCACGGTCCCAGAGCTCGGGGGATCGAAATAAAAATAAAATAAAATAAAATGCTACCAATTTCGTTATAGAGGGCTGCCTGATCATGCAGGATATTCATATTTTGACTGGATGCCTCTATTTTATCTCCTGTAATGGATCTACTGGATTCAGACCACTGTACCACATGCGAGAAATACTCAGAGGTATAATGGGGGGAGACTCCCGCTTATTTACACACACTCTTGGAGGCGGTACGGCTAATGGATGAGCCTCAGGTGTTACAAGAGTGCAGGTTTTGGTATATTCTGCGCTATATAAAACAGACAATTGCATTCTGTTTTGGATATCCGGACCATTCCGGACAAACTGCGCAGACAGTTTTTCCCATATCAAGATGACATGAGATACTGAGACCTTCATGGAGCAAATGGGCACTGCCTTGCTCGGGTAACAAGACTAGGGAAGGCCCACTACCCGGTCTGCAGGTACACCGTACGCATGGATCGCATGGTAAGACCGGAAACCCCAGTTGTCTTGAGTTCCCTGGTCATTACAATCTTGGGATAAGATGGCAGGACTGCCCTTACTCCTCTGAGCACATACCTGGAGAACATGGTTCGGAGATGGAGGGTGCTCCGTCTATACTCTATATCCCTCACGGGAGCCGTCTTGGTTTGGGTTCGCGCTAACCCACTTTTTCAACTACTATCAAGGAGACCTATGAGACTCTATAGAGGAACCCTGTGTGCTCTGACTCCTACACGGACGTCAAAGTCGGGTCGCAACCTACCGCTGGAGTACAGCTCAGGATGTGTAGCAGACTCGGATAGGGCTGCCGACATTCTCAAACGGGACAACACATGATTCGAATGGCTGAAGCTAGACCCTTCTTTTTTCGCTATATCTACTCTCTGGAGTCACCTGTCATCAGCGAAGGGACTTTACGCCTTGCCTGCGTATTGGAGAACGCTATGTGTTCGCGGGACTCCCTCTATAGGGATACTTTGACTTCGATTATCGAACTCACATTCCTGGGTCCCTAAGGGTCTCACTATATTATACCCTATCTTGTAGGTGGCGTGTAGAACCCCTACACGAATTTTGACAGGTCGGGCATGGAACAGGATTGTACGACGGGTAATCGGACTATTTCACTCTCTCACTACAGCACGTGAGGACTCTTCGTTGTTATACAGGTCCCAATCACCATTGGATCCGTACATCTTATCACTCTTAGACAATGACATCTGGATGGGAATCTCAACTCCAGTTTATGTTTCCCATCCCTTTGAACTATTCCCAGAATAGTCGACCACAGTTCCACCACACAAGTTCAGTTTGGGACCCTGATTGGACGTCCTTTTTTGGAGTCCTTTCTCTACCGCAGCCGAGGATTACACAGTCCATTTGGGATATTGGAATAACTTAGGATACGGCTATTTTGACCACACTCTTGCCTTCATAATAAATATATTCTCGGATGAGACCTCTCACTGGGTAGGCCATGAGGGAACGAAAGATCCTACTCAGATCTATTACGGAATTGGTGGTGGACTTAGGTGCATTCCTTGAGATGGAGATCTACCTGCAAGGCCACATCGCCAGGTGACCCTGGCACGATCGGAGGAGCCACCTTACACATCAAGAGTTGAGACATGGTGGCAGTGTCTTTTCGCGACCCTAAGTCCACAAATGACCTTTGACATTTTATAACTACAAGGAAATGGCTAATAGGTCTGCTTGGCAGCTCATGGACCGGCTGGTAGGAAACAGGTTGCAACCCCACGTACAATGGATCTATCAGCGGATGTTGTTTTTTCCGTATTTGTGATGCTACGTCATCTGGCATCTTCATCGATCTGTCTACTGTCATTTATCGCAGTTGGAAAGTCAATTTAGGATTAGGTACCAGCGAAACAAACAGCGTTGGATTTGTTGACCGAGTGTTAAAACAGCAAATACGAAGCCTCCCGGTCATGTTATAAAATTGTAGATTATGCTAGATTTAGTGTACCTATAATCTTAATTTTATCCATGACAGGAGGCGAGTATTTCCCACCCGTTCTTATCCCTCCCTTGTTTAATTTTAATAGTTTGGATTAATCAGGTACATATGCAACTCTGCTTGTTGTCTCTGGTACCTGTCACTTGTTCTTATGTCTGTTTTTTCATAAGTAGGGTTGGGATATCTACATATTCAGGTACTTTTGGTTGCTACATTGGGTACCTACATGTTTATTTAGAGTACATTTCATTGGATAATCAACCTGTTCAATTCTGTTTTTCTCTCGTTTCAGTTTACAGTCCATCAACGCTATCTGGTTTGGCCGTTCTTCTCGGATGGTGGACATCGTTGTATTCATAGTATCTAGGACTTTGTTTCTTCCCCATTATGTTTTCTGCCTTTTATTCTGTTTTTGTCGCAGCTTGAAAGAGGAAATGATGCATGGGGAGGGGAGTTTTATAGTACCTAACTTTTTTCTGATTGGTTGTTTTTCTGTGCTGCTGTGGAGTTCTAGTAAAGAGAGACTAAAGCAAATATTCGCCTCCTGTCATTAATAAAATTAAGATTATAGTTACACTAAAGCTAGCATAATCTACAATTAAGCATATCTACAAACCCGTATCCTTTAATAATATACACAGACAGTAAGGTATATATTTCCAGAAAATTGAAATGAAAACAAACGTATTAGAACAAATTTCATGTTTTTCAAAATGCATATTTTCACCATCTATTTGCACAACTCAACATTTATCCCTGAACGTGTCTCTTAATATGCCATTATTAGCCCAAAGTACGGCATATTGGCACTGCTGTCCCTGAGACACTGCATGTTATTCTGACTCATTGTGTAACCGTGCGTGGATCCTTGTAAGATGGTTACTTAGTTACGTCAATATGCAGAGTTGCCATGAACCCTTCTCAAAAAATGTAACTTTTTTAATTCCAATAAACATTGATGGCCATTGCAATAATGTTATCTGCGTGGAGAATCATCTCCTCTACAGGATCTTAGGAAATGCAATACAGTAATAAAATGAATGTTGCTATTTGAGCAATATTTCCCTTGGTAAATGGGATAATACATTTTAGAACATGCCAGGCTGCAAATGACCACCTTTTCTTAATACGTGATGAAGATTGTAAACTAAAGGGGAACTTTGACTTCACAGGTTTTTAAATGTTATGTTTACTTATCCTTAAATTTAGCAAATACACACTTGGTGTGAAAAGTAAAATTAAATGTAGACATTCACATCTCTTTATCCCGCAACTGGGCACCTCCATCTTAGCTCCCTGTCAGTCATTGTTATAAACTCCGCCCATTACACCTGGCAGTCAGTATAGAGAGAGCCACCTCCATCTTAGCTCCCTGTCAATCATTGTTATAAACTCCGCCCATTACACCTGGCAGTCAGTATAGAGAGAGCCGTCTCCATCTTAGCTCCCTGTCAATCATTGTTATAAGCTCCGCCCTTTACACCTGGCAGTCAGTATAGAGAGAGCCTCCTCCATCTCAGCCCCCTGTCAATCATTGTTATAAGCTCCGCCCTTTACACCTACAGAGAGCATACCGAGAAGATGAGAAATTAAACAATGTTTCTATTTTCCCTTTTCATTACCAATGTTTGCCCTGACTTTGCCTTGTCTGAATCGGATTATTATGTAATTTGCTAAATCTTTAATAGAAATGTAAAATAAATTTTAAAGAAATAACACAAGTTTTATGTGATGTTCTAAGTTTTACGCATTGACATAAATGTCATCCTTTAACAAAAAAAAGATTAACAAAGATAAGAAATAACTCCGAGTGCTGCTCACTTGTTGCAATTTCCCAGTTAATAGTTATTACATCACTGGTATCACTATCCAGCAGGGGCCACTCTTTGTACAAAACCCTTTCACTCACAGTATAATGAGATATAATGATTAGCTATTGTGTATATAAATATTATACTGATATATTTAAAATATATGAAGCAAATCTGTAAAAAGAATAAAATCATTTTAAACTACAGTCCTGTTATGTTCATGTTATTAAATCAATTAATCATTATCATTTCTTTAATGTTTAGGGATTAATGGTTGCTGTTCTGTACTGTTTTATCAACAATGAGGTGAGATACAAAAAACGAATTGCCTGCAATGCATGTCATACCCAACTTGTAACACTCCCATAATCCTTCGCTCCTCATTAATTCACAGCAGTTATCTAACGACTGATCAAAATTCATGGCACTTAACAAGATTTTACAAAATATCGGGTTAGTTCTTCAGTTGGCCTATATAACCAAGATTTCATATTTTTGGATAAGCTTTTCAAATGATTTAGGATATTTAAATTGTTTTTTTAATATTTAGATTTATATATATATATGTAGCGGTACCTGTTCCTAGTGTCCTGTTCCCAGGTTCAGACAACACTCAGCCCTGGAGCTTTCTGTCCTTACCAAGACTTTCCCCTATTTTCTTATTGGAAAATGAAAAAAAATAGGACACACACTTTACACAGAAAGCTTTGCAGCAAGCTAAACAGATTATCTCTTTAAAAGTCCATCCACATCACTGTGGCAGTGATTCATTATGGAAATGATGAAATACTTTAAGATAGCTGCTTGCGTGAGGTCAGTTTCTAGTTTCTAATTGTTTAATAGTGAGAAAAGAATGTAATAAGTCCAATAATATAAAATGTAGGTATTTTAGGTAGGTAGGAAAGTAGATATATTTACATTCTATTTGGCTAAGTGCAGAAGAAACATGACCTAAAAATAAAATGTTGGTTTTGTTTTTACTTCTTTGAAAGGTCCAGACGGAGTTTCAGAAAAGGTGGGAACGGTGGAGGTTGGAACATTTATACAGCCAAAGAGACAGCTCTATGAAACCGATTAAATTTCCAGCCAATAGCCTCAGCAGTGGAGTGACAGTGGGTAGCAGTGTCTAATTCCTGATATTATTGATCCCTGTCAATCACGGAGGCCCTGAGCATCGGAAATGGCATTTTACACTATGGATACAGGAAGAGAATTTCCACGAGCAATCAGATTTAGCAATTATGTGATCACAAAAATACGAACATGCATTTTCAGAAAACAGACCATGAACATCCTGCTGTATTTAAGCTCAATGCTTGTGTTGGTGAATGAGCAAGTGGAAAAGATCCATCCACAATTCACTTAGTAAGACTTGAAGAATCGTGAGCAACAATGAAGAAGAGCGTTTTTACAGAAATTGTAAGAGGCAGATTGGCAGGCTGATGTCATTTTTGATTATGACGGAAGCACAGGTGGGATCGAAAGAAACAAAACATATCACATGGACAAAATGACAACGGGTTTCAGAAGAAACACAACATACCATTTCTACCATAATTTTATGTACAGATCAATAAGAAACGCTAACCAAACTATGTCTATTTTTTTTGATTGGGGTTTAGATACTGGAGAAAATGGGCAAGAACTGATATGTGAATATATTTTTTTGCATTTTTATCTTGAAGGGCTTGTGGCTCAGTAATAAGAGACAGTTTTTTTAGATTAATGCTCTCAGGTAGCTTGTAAGAAATAAAGTCAGAATGCCCATAAAGTCATAAATAATCAAGGAGTTTACAATCACTCAGCTGATTCAAACCTATCACTGGTTTCATTGTGTAGCTATCAAAGCGTTATCAAAGGGCTGCTGGGTCTGGGTCGGAGTAAACACAATAGGGCACAGTTTATTCAGCTCTTTTGAAAAAATAATGATGAGGAGCTGCTGATTGGCTACGCATGCGCAAAAGTCTCCCAATGTTTTCCAATGGGAAGCATTGGATTGGTTGAGATCATCAGTAATGATGATATCAGCCATGGAGGCAGGGACAGGCGGGGCCGGCTGTGGAGAAACCAGAGCGGCAATCTATAGTTAATTAAACACTGTAGTGTCAGCAATACAGGTTTGCATTCCTGACACTATTGTTTTCCTGGCAACGCAGTCTACCTTAAAGGGACACTATAGCTTAATGTATTTGTTCAGGTATGATCTATAGCTCCCTGCAGGCAATCTAATGTAAACACTGTATTTTCAGAGAAAATACAGTGTTTACATTGATTGATAGGAATACCTCCAGTGGCTGTCACTCAGAGGGACTTCCTGTCATGCAGGGCCCTAAAAAGGCCTTGTACACGTCAGACGTATTAAAATGTGTGTGCGCCTTCTCTCTTCTGCCTGTCAGCAGAGGAGAGGGGGCGGGCAAAGACCGCGAGCTGAGCTTTCAGTCAGCTTAGCTCGCGGCCGTGCACACCGCGCGCATGAATGCTGCCCTCTGAAGTATGTGCGCATGTGCGGCAAAGCCGCGCATGCGCACAAGGGAGCAATGACAAATGGAAGTGTCTGATTGGTCCCTGCTCGCGCCCGCCTATTTAGTCATTTTGACGAAATAGGGGGCGCGGCTTCACGAGGCTCCCGGCGCTGGAACCAGGTGAGTAAATTTCTCTGCCTGGAGAGTCCCTTTAAGGTTCATAGAGATATGTTTTACATTAATAAGGTTGAGGTCCAACAGTAGCAACATATCAAATGCTGGAATCAGATTATATTATAGTTAGAGATATCATCAAAATGTAATGTCACTACTTGTCTGCACTGTATCTATCTATTGCTATCTTCCAACCATCCATTACCTCTCCACTTGTCTTTTCTTTCTGCATTTGAGACACTGGGACACTGTAATCACTGTAACTACTTAATCTCATTGAAGTGGTTCTATTGTATGGAAATCCCAGAGTCCTTATATTCAGCATTAAATTGTTCTTAATGTTTTAATGCTAAACGAGAGTTCAGGGCAACCCATCCCCTCCGTGCTGCTTGGGTAACGAGGAAGCATCCGCCTGAGCAGCAATGGGTGGCTGTGATTGAGTTTTCAACCTATCACAGTGTCCATTGCTTTTATGAATTGGTATGGCTAGAATGAAGTGTGTAATTTCTGCCACTGCCACACCTCCAGAAACACCGAGCAATGGGTGACCAGGGATTCTTATTTCGTGTTAAAATGCTTGAAAATGGTTTAACATTGTATGGAGGGCCAGTGCCAGGGATTCCATGCTCTTTGCTAATTCAATGTTACGGAATGTGATTCAATGAGATGGAATGGAATCTTGGGGTTCCCTCCACTCATGGGGGCCATCTTGGGTCGCCTGCACTTAAAAGGTGAAAGGTACAGCCATATTGGCTGGTTCTCATGACTATAACATATTGTTTTTACCAGCCCACAATATAATTCTACTATTCGATCAACTCCATATCTCATTGTAAATCCCAAGGAAATAGTTTTAATTCCCTCCTTTCTTAAGTTTAGATTTACTTCCTTTCAGGCTGAAATTTCTATTTTGTAAACGTGCACTGGTTTAAATCCACGCTCACATTCACTCCAAAAGTTAACAGCTTAATCCCCTGCGTCTCTTCTCCCTTTATGGGATTTTATTTCTGAACAGAGTTTAGTTGTGAAAAGTGCATTGAATATTATTATTTAAGTTCTCATGACACAGTACCCTCTCCACCTTTACACACGCACGTTACTGGCCCTGGCCCTGGGATAATTTGGCACATATTGCGTACGCTATAATGGTTTTACAGGGCATTCAGTACTGTGATTTCAAGTGAGCTCTTAGTATCTATAAATCCAGCTAATTGCATTCATTATTTTAATTTCACCTTCACCACTATCACCGCATCATAATGCATGAGACACTTTGAAAATCATTTATTTTTTCCTTTGCTTTTTATTTAAGCATGAGTGTTTTTCGTAACCATTAACCCCAGAAAAAGGAACAATTTTAATAGAACATCGAGGAAGGCTTCGGACAAGTACGCACTTGTTTCCTAATGGTCCCTTGAATTAACGTAAGCATTTTGGATGGATGAAAATATTCTCGCTTGTCCTGGACTAACCTGCTTTATTGTTTCATTTTAACACCCACCACCACTTAGCTTTAACTCATAAACAGCCTAATTCAGATTATGGCACCTCCAAAATGGTTTTAACAAGATCAGAACCCAATATTGCCTCATGATACAAAATATAAACAGGTATTTTCTTAGAATTAAAGATCAAGTTTGCTGCCAAATGTCTGTTAAAGAATTTTCATTAAATTAAGCGGATTCCTGTATTAGAAGTAACATTAAGATCATTAGATCCTTGTATTAGAACAATAGTCCTCCATCAATTATCTGCTAGTTAACTAGAAAATACAGTCTAATAATAACTGGAAAGACAAGGACTGCTTAATATTTTCTTATAGGCTTTCATTGTGTTAGATTTGTTAAATCTGGTCTATATCAGTATAACAAACCTATTAATAATATTCTGAGCGGAAGAGTTTTATATTAGAAAAATCTGAGACTGGCAAATATATCTGCTAAATATATTAACACAGTTGGCACATACCTGTCTTGAAATATTGAGCAATAAGATCGCATATTTCACAGACTATCACTGTGATATCTTTGTGTTCAGAGACTAAGAATCACTGGGACATCTTTGTGTTGGAGAATTAGTATCACAGGATGATCTTAGTGTTTAAGACTGAGTATCACTACCTGCTTTACCTTTCTACTCTGTTCACAGAGAGCATGCAGATAACTACTCCACCCCAGATACATTGCAGGAAACTGTTCCATCCCCAGAGAGCATGTAGGAAACTGCTTCATCCCAGATAGCATGCAGGAAACTGCTCCATACCAGATAGCATGCAGGAAACTGCTCCAACCCAGATAGCATGCAGGAAACGGCTCCATCCCAGATAGCATGCAGGAAACTGCTCCACCCCAGATAGCATGCAGGAAACGGCTCCATCCTAGATAGCATGCAGGAAACTACTCCATCCCAGATAGCATGCAGGAAACGGCTCCATCCTAGATAGCATGCAGGAAACTACTCCATTTCATATAGCATGCAGGATGCTTCCCATCTCCAGATAACATGCAGGAAACTGCTCCACACCAGATAGCATGCAGGAAACTGCTCCATCCCCAGAAAGCATGCAGGAAACTGCTCCAACCCAGATAGCATGCAGGAAACGGCTCCATCCTAGATAGCATGCAGGAAACTACTCAATCCAAGATAGCATGCAGGAAACGGCTCCATCCT